TTATAGTATTGTTTTTTTTCATAAAAGTACATGCTTGTGTTTACAAACGTTGGTTACTTACCATTGGTGTTTAAACAGAATTTGGGAGGTTTGCTATTAATATCGAGTTACGAACATAGTAAATCATTTGATCCGTAACGTGATTTCAATAGCTTACTTTCCATTTGTTGATCAAATTAGTATTTTCGTTCGAAAGTTTAAGTTTTGGCGCAAATTTTTTTTTTTTTGCAAACCTTTGTATATCAAACTGATTAATAATATACTTACAATACACAAACTTTAAATAAACCAACAAAGATACAAACATCTAGACGAACTTTAGCATCGAATGACATATCATCGGGCCCACTTCGATTATCATAGACACTAAATGAAAGTGAAAAGGTAATATTAGATTGGTATAAATTGTCCCATGGTTTATCTGAAATAATAGAACCATATGATACCCTTTGAGATAATACATCTCTCCTTGCCAATATTTTCAAGACGTCAAACATGCTCAATTTCTGGTTTTGCTCGTCAACTGTTTCCGGTATATTTAAGTTAATATTATCGAAGTCATCTTTGCTTATTGCTTAACTAGGGCTACATTGTTAAAAATATAATTCATCTGCCTTTAAGAAACTTTTATTACAACGAATTGATTCGTATGCTAAATTGCCACTCCTGTCGATCTATTATTATTATATTATTATGTTGATATCATACGACTATGTTAAAATTAGAAGTTTCTAGGCAGTCAATATTTATCTACAAATTTATCTAACGGGTGATCATTAATTTTAATTTCGATTTTCTAAGAATAACAAATTTATTTTCCATGCCATGTCATTAAATTCGACGTGCGTGATAATATAATTATCAAAGTTTGTATTTAATATTTTACGCTTTAAGCTTTTATACAAACAATTGGAAATTCTTAAAATACACTTTACGCCGCCTTTAATGAATCCCTACATTTACTTCTCTTAACTCTGCTTACAATTTCTTATATAAAGTCCTCTTTTTTTTCACTCCATCGTCCCTTCAAAATTTAAAAATTTAAAAATTCTTTAAAAATTTGACTCTATTCAAAAAAATTTTAAAATGAAGTTCTCTTATGCTTTATTTTTGATATTATCTTTAATAGTTGTATATACTACTACAGTTTCCAATGCTGCACCACACGGAGATGGTGTATTTCTTAGAAGAGACCAACTTTAACATCCAAAACATATAGTTGATTTAAAATTAAATGAAGGTACTTGTGTAACCTTAATCTTTAATTTTTATGTTGTATTGTTTAATTTTGTTGTAATATCAAAATTTTAAAATCATAGAAAGAATAGCCGAGATTCTTGTTTTTTGTGTCAGTTTTCTTTTATTTGTAAACTGATTTATCGATAAGTTTTATAATGAACGATTCGACTTTTGAAAGAAAACGTTCTCTTCATTTTTTTCGATTTTGTTGAATTCAACTACTCTTTTATCATCCTTCATTTAATATATTATTTTTATTTTTTTTTATTTTTTACATTACATCAAAATTTAAATGTCAAATCACTTAATTGGAGATATGAGTTCTTTTTAATTATTTTATTGTAATAACTTTTAATAAACTGTTTTTGTGTTAAAAAATGAGGTAAAGATAAACTTTAACAAATTAGTATAAAATATATTGAATGAATATTTTATAATTGTTAAATTCCAAATAAACAAAGGCATGAGTTATCGTAATATTAGAAAATTATTTAATTATTTCACGAAAAATGCATTTTGAGCGTTCTTAAAGATCTTGCGTAAGTTTTTCAACCCGATTATTAGCTAGTAAACTGTTTAGACCCTTTATATTCATTTATAAAATCTATATTCGTATGGGGACGATTTTCTCGGTTCCATTTCGGTTTCTTTTCGGTTCTGCTTTCGGCTCTCCTAAATAAATAGTTCAAGTCAAATTTTCAAATGGAACATGTGATGTTGATCAATTAAAAACAAATTCGGTATATAATTATTAAAATTTGAAAAAGTCACTTTGAGCCGGTTCGGAGTCGGTTCCGGTTCGATTTTTAAAGTTGGTAAGAAATCGACTCTGAGTCGTCTTTTAGAACCGTCCCCATCCTTAGCTCCGTTCAATGCTTTAAAGCTTTTTCAAAGAATTTGCCGGTTTATTCCAAATGATTTACCCTGGTAAACACTTCGCACTTTTTCTCGAAATCACCAAGTAAAAAAAAGATAACGTGGGCAAAAAAAAAAAAATAAATAAATAATTTACGAAAGCCATTCTTCTATAAGACAAACAATTATTGGAAAGGTTTGCATCGTGTCGCAAAAATTTAGAACATTTTAAAAAGGAAATTTTACAAAATAAAAAAAAAAATAAAATAATTTTTTTTCTCTAGCGCGGATTTTAATTAATTTATTTAGAAATTTATCCCTCTCGATATTTAATATACAAAATTTCGTTAAAAAATTATTATTAGTAGATTCAATTAGAAAACTTAGGTCACGAAAAAAAGTTTAAAATTTATAATGGGAAAAGCAGAACAGAATTTTTTAAGAGGTAAAATTCGATATTATGCAAAACTTTATTTAATTAAACGAAATAAAATAAAAATAAATGCATATATTAAAAGGATAAAGAAAACAAAGAAAATTAATAAAACCCTGAAAAAAAAAGAGAAGATACACAAGATCGGCAAAAGCGTACGACATCCCTCTCGATATAAAATATTGTCGAGTTAATCATATAAAATCATGATAAGAAAAGGAAATTTCCTCGGGAAAGTTGAGTCAGCAGATAGTTTGAAATTTCTTTGTAATCGTAGGCTTGTCAGCTTGTCGACGAAAATTCTTTTGGCAATGTGCATGACATTGTGATTTGAATAAATAATATAAGCTTAAAGAAAAGTTGTCGTACATTCCGGAAATCGAGTCAAAACTAGTTTATAATGTAATTTTAATGGTAATATTTCTACTTAATAAACGTTGTAATAGATTAAGGATTCCCCCTGCGTATCCATCAAATTGTATATGTGACGTAAAGTACGTGACAATTGATTTTTAGCTACTCAAAATTTCTGCTTAGTAAAAATGAAACGCGGAGTGGTGTGACCCAGTGACAAAATATATCCCGTGACATTTTGATGAGTATGCAGGGGAAATTCACATGTATACCTTATAATGTTTTTTTATCGTTCGCCTTTGGTTTATAAACCAATTCCTAAAATCGATTCTAATGATTCTAGAGATTTATAACGATTTTCATCATTGTAGGTAATATTTTTTATTTTATTTTATTAGTTATTTACTTTCTTCGTTTCTAACTATTTTTTTTTTTATTTAGATCTTTGGTTTTAGACGGAGAACTAGGAAAGAGTAATGCTTCTTTATTAGTACTTCTTTTAGCTTTTATTTCTTTAAAGAGGGTTTTTTTTTAAAAAATGATTTATGAAACATTTTTTTTTAGTATCTTAATAAACAGTATATTTAATAAATAAATTTTTTTCGGTATCAAAAGATTGTTTCGTCCTGATGTTTCTGACTTATTGACATTACATTTGGCTAGTAGATCTTGGTCTTGGGTGGAGAACAAAAAAATACTGATGAAAATTTGAACGAACAATCTATCTGATGCTGCTAAGCCACAACCTAAACAAAAAAAACATCGAACTACTGATTAAGAGACGAAAATACTTTCTGTATTAAAAGTATATAAAGATAAACTGCCAGATGATGCTATTCTTCTGTTTGTAATCAATTGTCGGAAGTTTGGACTAAGAAAAAAGTGCGAGACTGGTGGAATTATCATAAAGACAAATAAAATGTAATAAAAAAAAATATTAAAAATATTTATTTCTAAGTTATATGCTTAATTTTACAAAGTTAGTATTTTAATTAAATAAAAATTCATCATTTACATCAAAAATTACTAATCTAATCACCTTTTAGCGCCTAAGCAACTCGATTGCGCGTAAAAAATTACGTATAATTGGTAATTTAAATCTATATTTATTTTTCGTTTAGGGGTTGCATCTGGAGGTTAAAGCTAAAAAATTAGGCGAAAGTCGTGTATAATAAAGTTTTTTTTAAAAGTGTCTTATTGTAAAAAAAAGTATTGAAATATATATAGATCAAAATATAAAAAATAGAAGTTCGTTAAAGTTTGGACATGTTTCTTGAGAAAAAATTCACGTTATATAATTTATTTGCCGATCAATTATTAATTAGTGATCTACACGTGATCTGAAATGACCACCGATTGTTAGGTTTACATAGCGAAAGAGTAGAGCGCCGACGTTGTGGAAAAACTGATCGAATTGATAAAATTAAATAAATTTAGCGTCAATTTTATTTTATCTTTATTCAATTAATACCTTCTGCTTACAACACAAACTGTTTATACTGTAAATACATAAACGAAAGAACTGAATACAACACTATATTAAGCGACAATTGGTTTACAACAACTTAAACTTTTTTATTATTTTGTACTAAACAAGAAAAAATGAAAAAAGTAAATTATGTATTTTGAAACTGACAAATTAATTAATTAGGAAATTGTATAATAGTTTTGATCCGATTTTATTTATACTTTTGATCGACCAAAAATAAAACTTTCGATAATAAGGAAGTATAATATATAAAAGTACCGTAAAGAATTGAACGTTGAAGAATAAATTAATCTATAATGCAAGGAAAATAAATATATATATCAAAAATATTGTGCGGCAAAATTAATAATTACCGCAGTATTTGATGGTCTAGCGTTAAATTTTATTTTCAATTTTTGCAGATTCCTAATACCAATAAATTGCTTTTTTTTTTAATTCTTTTAATACCATCCATTTTTATAACATTTAGCCAAGTATATTATTATCTGATTTCTAATACCAATTAAATGATATTTTTAAGTTCATTTCAATTTCCTATCCCATTTTGATAACATTCAGTTAAATTTTATTGTG